CTAAAATGCCCTTTAATTATAATTTTAACTCAACCTACCATAATTACTAATTTCCTTGTTTATCCGTTGATTTGTGGTTGAGATTGGTTCTCACAGTTACCACAAACAACTCAGTTCTCCCTTGAATAGGCCCCTATATATATATATAATATAATTAAGAATTGCCCATCACTTTTCTATTTTGAAAAGGCTTTCATCAAGGTATTTTAATCTCTATATTGTAGGGTTTACATTGTTTCATAGCCTATTGCTAAATTTCTTTTAGATGGCTATGTTAAATTCACCAATTTTGTGTCCAAGAGGTATAAGCTTGAACCCACTATTATGCTTGAATTCTGTTAAATACTTACGATTTAYGGATTCGGGTTTTTCTTTCTCTACTGCAAAACTCTGCCTTGGACTAYCTCTTCCCAAAAACACTTGTTTTTGTGTTGGTGTTAACATAAACAAAGATTTTCGTGTTATAAAAGTGGTTGATGATGATGAGGATGGTCGTGGAGAAGAGCCTACACAGTCWAATTTGGACTGGGAAGATGAATTTCTAGGAGAGATTCATCCTATGAGTAAGAGAAAACAAAAAGAAATGTCTGAATTGCTTCAAGAAACAGACTCCACGGATTGGTGTGTAAGAGCAAGGAAATCTGCTCTCAGGTCTATTCAAACCAGGGGTTTGACCAGTGCCATGGAAGATCTTTTCACTGTTAATCTTAAGAAGGAGAAGAACAAGAAGAAGAGCCATAACGTTAAGAAGAAACCGGTAGTTAACAAGGAAAAGCCCACCAAGGAAAGTTTGAATTTCGATTCTGATGGGGAAGATGATGAATTGAATATTGAAAACCTTTTGGATGATAAGGACCAGCTTAAAACAAGTGTGAGTATCATGGCAGGTGGGATGTTTAAGGAAAGAAAGAAAAAAACCATGGAAACTTTTGTTGAGAGGCTATCCCATTTCTCTGGGCCACATGACCGTAGGAAACAGATCAATTTGAACAAAGAAATTGTGGAAGCACAGACTGCAGATCAAGTATTGGAAGGGACGCTGAGATGATAATGGCTGTTGCCAAAGGCTTGAGTCCTTTACCTTTATCTCCGTTAAACCTTGCCACAACTATCCACCGTATTGCTAAGAACATGGAGAAAGTTTCGATGACCAGGAGTCACAGACTTGCATTTGCCCKGCGCAGGGAGATGTCTATGCTTGTAGGTATGGCAATGATGGCACTTCCAGAATGCTCTGCTCAAGGTGTTTCAAATATYGCATGGGCCTTGTCCAAGATCGGTGGTGAGCTCCTTTATCTGTCTGAGATGGATAGAGTGGCAGAGGTGGGCTTGAACAAGGTTGGCGAATTCAATTCACAGAATGTTGCTAATATTGCTGGTGCTTTTGCCTCTATGCAGCATGCTGCTCCAGAGCTCTTTTCAGAAATATCAAAAAGAGCTTCAGATATCATTCACACTTTTCAGTCACAAGAACTTGCTCAGCTGTTGTAGGCTTTTGCTTCGCTCGTTGAGCCTGCAGACTCAATATTTGCATCTCTTGATGATGTTTACAAGGATGCCCATCAGTATAGGTGCAGCTTGGACAAGAGAACATTAAAATTCACTGAACCAAGAGGTGCAGAAAGTATCAAAGTTGAAGGCTTTCCTCCGGTTCTTGATTTCAACATGGATCAACTTGGAAACATATCCTGGTCTTGTACTGTTCTTGGGCAAATGGATCGGACATTCTTTTCCCATGTCTGGAAAACCCTGGGCTATTTTGAGGAGCAACAGATATCAGAGAAGTATAGGGAGGATATCATGTTTGCTACTCAGATCCAGCTTGTTAACCAGTGTCTGAAGCTTGAGTACCCTCATTCGTTATTGTCTCTTAAAAGTGATATTGAGGACAAAATTATTCGTGCTGGGAAAACTGCACGTTTTAATCAGAAGATCACGTCTTCATTTCAGAAGGAGGTCGGTCGTCTTCTTGTTAGCACTGGTCTTGATTGGACAAGAGAATATGTTGTAGATGGGTACACCTTGGATGCTGCTTTGATTGATCTAAAAGTTGCATTGGAGATTGATGGGCCAACACATTTCTCAAGAAATTCAGGTGGGTGGTAAATGTTAGTTGGCATTCTTTTGCTCTAGTATTGTACATTGAGCTTCTATAAACCCCAGATTCTTTTTATGCTTTTTGTCAACAGGAAACCCTTTAGGGCATACAATACTGAAACGACGCTACCTTGAAGCTGCTGGTTGGAAGCTTGTATCAGTATCTCACCAAAAAGTGAGTTCTTTCGTTGCGTTAGCCTTGTACATGTTCTTTTCTTTTTGGGAAGGGAAATCTCCTTATTTACTATAGATATAAATGTTGTCTCTACTCATCGTTCTTGATGCTTGATGATCAATTTAAGCCAAGAGCTTGTAAACTTTGCCCCCACTTCAACACTTTCAAGTCATTTAGTAAAAGATCGTGCAAGAAGATTTATTTCCTGAAACTAATGATGGATTAGTTCAAGGGGCCTTTCATTATGGTCCATCTCTTTTTTTACTTGATTTCCTTTTTATATTTTATGTTGTGCAGTGGGAAGAACTTGAAGGGAGTCATGAACAGCTGGACTACCTTCGAGAAATTCTTCAAGATCACACAGCTGATGAAGCTGGAAGGTAGTAGTAGTAGTCAAGTATCAAACCAAAACATGAGTTGATCAGTTGTTGGAAAAGCAGATCTTGTGTACAAACCATGACAACATTGTAACCTGTAATCAATTTCTCAAGGTCTATGAGTGTAATAGAAGGAAAGATTTTATATAATCTTTTTTTTGGAAATGCTTTAGTACATAAGCTTTAAGCATTTTCACATTTTATAAAATATATAAGAATGGAACATATAAATAATAGTTAACAAAAGAAAAACCAGAACTCAACTCTGTGATAACAAATAAACCTTTGAGTTTACATCATGTGTGAAATAAATAATACAATAGCCAAACAAACATTTGAGCCCAACTTTAGGAAAAAAGTTCCCCAGACCTTACATACAACAATCTTCTTGCAGAAGGAACTGGAGGAGCCAATCCTGGTATATCTCTGATATATTTGTTCTCAGGGTGCGCAATCTAATCATTTACAAGGTTCATATTGCTATCAAAACAGGATAAACAGATATAACAAGGAAATTGGTAAATCACCTTCATAATAATAATGGCAATGACACCAGATACAATAAGAAATATGAAAAGCATGATGCATTTATCTGTAGCCACCTGGAAAAACATGTCTTGTGTTAGAACTACATACATAAATAGTAGAAATACTGAACATGTGCAAGGGAAGACTGATACCTGCCGCTCTATCTCCTTTACAAGTTTGGACACCTTTTTAATAGAGAAGTGAATGGCGTCCAAATCATTAACAATGCGACCCATTTGCTCAGTCTGCATTATAATGTACAAGTGAGAATGCATAGACAGAAGACCAAAACATTTACCGTTTACTTACTTCGCCTTTTAAAGTAACAGCAGTTTGTGTTCCCACTTCAACTGTTTGTAGAACCACCTGTATTTACATAATCCGAATCAGAAAAACCAACCTGTTTGGAGTGCTCAATGGCGTGATCTGTCTCATCCATCGACTTCAGGCCAGCCTGAACAAGCTCCTCATTCGTCATTGCTATAAAACAACTGGAGCAAGTGAGCTGTTATAGATGGGTACCAAATCCCTGATGATAACAAAACATTTTACAAGGTACATCTCAATAACAATTGTGGATGTATGCCACTTCAATATTTTCTTAATCTCATTTTGAGGTATAAGTTATATGATCCATACAAAGTCGGTTACTCTGCATAAACAAAGAGAATCACATATAAAAGAAGGAAACGATGTTGGTTAATTGATAATGAACTTCAAAAACACTTTTTTCCAGATAATGTAGGATCAGAATCCATTACCAGACTCGGACATAACAAGGATCTGATCTCACCTGATGCCTCCTGAACATTGTCCCATTTCAAAGAATCCAACCTTCTTATTCCCAGAGTGCTCTGATATCTGGATCCACATGCAAAAAAGAAGAAAGTCAGAACTGATAACCAGGTGAGATCAGGGTTTAGGGATATCCAAAGCAATCGAGAATCTCCCATTCTGTGAGCACTGCGTTTATGGGAAGCAAAAGAAGGTGTCATTCTCGAGCTCAACTCATACAACCAAGGCGATTCTCGAGTACGTGCATTCTGATATGGGCACCGACAAGAGTTCCTTCGCATGGTGGCACAGTTTACATGCTGACAATTATTGACGACTACTCACCTAAGGTATGGGCATATTTCTTGAAACATAAAAGGGATGTGTTTGCTACCTTCCGTGATTGGAAGACGTTGATGGAAAAGCAAACCGACAAGCATGTCAAATTAATTTTTATTTTTATATCAATTTTTTTTTGTAAGATATGAATCAAATGTATACTTTAGCTAAGTAACCATTTTTTAATTTTCAAATGTGTATCTTCTCATTTCATACTCTTATGTGATCCATAACATGAATTAACATAAAAAATACCACAATTCAAATATCATAATATATTTCATTAAATCTACTATTTTTCTTTTACATATATAATGACCTCCAATTTATCATTTCCTCCGTCAATATGAATAATGAAAACAACACCACAATTGAATATTTTTAATACTTAAGTCCTATAATACTACTTCATGCTTTACAATCTTCATTTTATATGTATACATAGAATGACCCTTCAAAAAGTACGTTATAAACTATAGTTTTCACTATTGATATTTGTCAACATTATGCCATTTTTGTATTTAATTAAAAACTTTGTGTGTATATATATTCTTTTGCAAAAGGAGGGTCGGTCAAAAATTATATTCTAACAAATTAATTTTTCAAAGAAATACATACTCTTTTAATATACCATATATATTGTGCATTCAATCATCTTCTCATAATTGTAAGATAATAAAAATCATACCAAAAATTCAAAAAAAAAAATACTTAAATCTCATAATATCGTTTCATATGTTGATTTAACAAAAAGAAATTGTAAAAAGAGGTTAGCAAAAGATAACCAAAATCGCATCGTACTTAAAGATTTTAAAATACTTAGATCTAATAAAGATTTTTTAATTTTTATTTTGTATAGTTAACATTTTTTTTGCTAAAAAGGGGTTGACCAAAACGAGTCATCCCTTGAGCTCGGAGGGTCAGGCAAAATGAACCAACAACATGAGTTTAGAGGATCGGTTGAGAGGAGTCAACTCCATGAGTTGCCACAAAGACATCTCAACCTCCCTTCATATACCCACTATTCATTGTAAATCTTTCATATATCCATCAATGTGGGATATATAAAACTCAACCATAATTCAAGAAATGAAGAATACTCACTTCTTAGGATGTTACCTCATTCCTTGTAAGTTTTATTCTAAGATGTGTAAAGATATAAAGATAAAGATAAGAATTACTAATTGGTTTTGTCATCTCGTTGACTTTGATTTCAACCATGGTTTTTTATTAATATAATTTTTATTGTTTGGATGAAAATGGTTTTGATTTCAACCATGACTATACATTTGAACTATATCTTTCATTCTTTTGTATACATTTTGAAAAATATTTCATAACTATAAGTTTTACCATTTGATTGGTTTTGATAGATTTCGATCATGGTTTTCATAGCTGTATTTTTTATCGTTTGGTTGGAATTGGTTTTGATTCCAACCCACGACTATAGATTTTAAACATATATATATATATATATATATATATATATATATATTCAATCTACCATTTTCTTACCAACATGGAATAATCAAAACACATCATATTTCAAATTTTGAGAATACTCAAGTCTTGTAATACAACCTTACAGTACTTGGTTGTTCTTTTAATAACATTTGTTTCATATAATAAACGTTGTTTTGCAAAAAAAGGACCATAAAAATAAGACAATCCTATGAGTCAAACTTCATTTATTGACACGATTGTCATCTCATTCTTCATTCTTATAGATATCTCTTTATTCTATTCTTTCAACTTCTCAACAAGTGAGATACCTAAAGCTCAACAACATTTCACTATTTGAGATTACTTCATTCTCATAATGTCAGCTTAATACCTCTTTGTTATTCATTTAATATCATTTCATACTTTGTGCGGTTTATTTAATATATATATATATATATATATATATAAAGATATATTTTTTTATTTTGTATGATTAATTTCTTTTTGATAAAATGAGATTGGCCAAATCAAATTGAGCAAACCCACGAGTTCAGAGGATCGGTCGAAATGAGCCACAACGTGAGTTTAAAGGATTGATCAAGAATAACCATCCACAATTCAAAAATGAAGAATACCCACTTCTTAAAATGTCACCTTATTTTTTTGTGGGTTTTACTTTAATATATACTAGAAGAGTACTCGCATAATGCAGCAAAACACCTCGATTTTAATGTCCTATTTTATTATTTGTCTTTGTCGATGTTATAATACGATTTTATGTGTTTTTAAGAAAGCAATAATGATTTTATTTTTGAATAAAATATAAATTTGAAAATATCATAAAAATTTGAAAAACAAAATCAATGTTAATATCAAATCAACCTAATTAAAAGCTTTATTTTTATGTAATTTCTTTAATTTAGTTTTTTATTATAATTTAATTCAAGTTTAATAATGAAATAATTTATTTTTGGTTTAATAAAATAATATTTTATAAATATAATAATTAAGTATTCTGTTAGAACTCAATGATTATCCTATTTATATTTTATATTTTTTATATTTAAAATGAGATGTTTATATGTATTTGATTATGTTTATCTGCAGTTAGTTACAAGAATTCAGATATGAAGCTTTAATAAGTTGTACTTATGCACAATCTACTTACAATCTTGAGTTTTAAGTAATATGCATTAATAAACAGTAATTTACGTATAAAAAGTGGCTTTTAAAAGATTTTGTCAAATGTTTTATAATATAACTAGAAGGATACTCGCACAACGCAGCGAGATAAATCTCCATTTTAATGTTTAATTTTTATTATTTGTCTCTATCGATGTAATATAATTTTATGTGGTTTTGAGGAAATGATAATGTTTTTTTTGAATGAAATATAAATTTGAAAGAATTCGATATTAGTATTAAATTAACTATTTAATAGTTTTCGTTTTTTATGTAACTACTTTAATTCAAATTTTTATTATAATTTAATTTAGGTATAATAACAAAGTAATTTATTTTTGGTTTAATAATATAATTTTTATTAAAGATAATAATTAAATATTTGGTTAGAAACTCGATAATTATCCTAATTGTATTTTATATTTTTTATATTTTAAAATAAGATGTTTATCCTATATTTGATTATGTTTATCCGTAGTTAATTACACGAATTCAAACATGAAACTTTAATAAATTGTACTTAATGCATAATTTACTTGTAATCTTGAATTTTAAGTAATATGTATCAATATATAATACTTTATGCATAAAAAATGGTTTTTAAAAGTTTTTGTCAAATGCTTTATAATATAGTATAGATATAAATATAGGTTTATAATGTAACATGGAGTAAATTTTGGACCGTAATCTTCGTATCATGTAAATTTTAGGACCATTTTTTTCTATTTTATACAAAAATATCATATATGTTTTTATCATTATATTTTTGAAAATTTAATATTAAAATACACTTTAAATAATATATTTAGATTGAATAATTATTAAAAATAAAAATAAAAAATATGTAATATAATCTATATATATATATATATATATATATTAAAGAAGAAACCGCATGCAATGACGTGACCTCTTCTCAAAACAATAAAATTATTTATCTTTTTTCTCCTTTTCTCAAGCTTCTCCTATTTTAATATTTGTTTTTTATGTTTCATATTCACATTTAAGATCTTTTAATTAGGTTGTTTCAACCTATTCATGTTCTCTTTAATAAGTACTCTTTTAACTCTCATTATTTCTTTCTATTCGGTTATAATTTTTCATCTTCTCTTCATGGTACACCTCTATAATAATCTCTCAATTCATGTATTCAATTATAAATTTGTGGATGCGATTTGCATTTTTGTTGATTTGAGGTGTCATTCAATAAGACAAATCATAGTATGAGTTTTTGCTTATGTAAGTATAATATTTCTTTTTTTAGTCAGAGATATTCAAATTAAAGTTGGAATTATGTAGGCATATGGAGTTTTTGTGTGTGGATAAAGTGACATATGAATCTTTGAAGAAATAGTGTAACATTGTTTAAGAAAAAAAAATCTCTCAATTTTTCCTCTCTATTCAGTTTTTTAGGTAATTTGCACTTTTGTTTATTTGAGACGTCATTCAATAAGAGAAATATGATATGGGTTTTTGTTAATGTAAGTATAGTATTTTCGTCTTTTAATTGGAGATATTCACACTAAAATTGGAATTATACAAACATATGAATCTCTGTATTAATCTGCCAATTCTTTCTCTCTATTCAGTTATAATTTTGTAGGGGTGATTTGCATTTTTGTTGATTTGAGATGTCATTCAATAAAACTAATCGTAGTATGTTTTTGCTTATGTAAGTATAGTATTTCGTCTTTTATTCGGAGAATTCACACTAAAGTTGGAATTATGTAGGCATATGATTTTTTTTATGTGGATAAAGTGACGTGAATCTTTGATGAAATAATGTAACATTGTTTAGCATAATAATTTCTTTTAATCTCCCAATTCTTCTTTATTCAGTTTTGTGGATGTGATTTGTTTTTTTGTTGATTTGAGTCGTCATTCATGAAAACAAATATGATATGAGTTTTTATTGATGTTGATCGGTCTATTGTGATTTTTTCTCTTTTTTAGCATTGAGTTTGGAAATTATTTTCTAATATTTTTAATTCTTAAAGAAGAAACCAAACATAATGAGGTGTTATCCTCTAAACATTAGAAACCCATTTTTTCTTAGATTTTTGATTTTTTAAAATATTTGATTTATGTTAAAAGACTTTTTCATCCCTATATTTAAAATATGAAATTCAATATAATACATATATTTTATTTTACATAATTTTATTAAAACTTTTATTTTCAGGATTTTTTTATAAATAAACCAAACTATGAACTGTCTAAAACAAATCTAAAAAGCTTGAACAAGTCAAATGAAAAAATAACAAATCAATCAGACTCTTATATATCTAGAATGATCATAATACTAGCTATTATTTTCACTTTTTACAATCGCATGTAGGAAAAAAGTGGTTTCAATGAGGTTCTTGACCAATGTTGCAAATAAGTATATCATAAACTAATATAAGAAAATTGCAAAAATATTCAACAATTATATTAATGTAAATAACAACACAATTATTGCTTGGTGAATATAATTATTTTATGAGAATATATGTAGAAGATAAATTGATATGTATTATGGTAAAATAATTCTATTAATACACCTCATGATTATAATCAATATTTTCACATATTTTTTTATGATTTTGAATCAATCACAAAGTTTGATATAA